CCGTTGAGCTCACTTGTGGAGTGAATCATCGGACGGAAGATCTTCTTCTCTGTCTCTCCTCTCTGTATATCTGCCTTTCCAATAAAAAAAATAATAAAAACAATCTTTAAAAAAAAAAACTGTACCACACGCTCACAGTAGTCACCATGTCCACTGCACTTTCACCACATCCCACACAGCCATCACATCCCACACAGCCGTCACCACATCCCCCACAGCCATCACATCATCACAGCCATCACAACTGTACCACATACCCACAGCCATCCTCATGACCCCATAGCTGTCACCATGTACCCAACAGCCATCACCACATCCCCACAGCCATCACCACATCCCCCACAGCCATCACCACATCCCCACAGCCATCACCACATCCCCACAGCCATCACCACACCCCCACAGCCATCACCACATCCCCACAGCCATCACCACACCCCCCACAGCCATCACCACATCCCCACAGCCATCACCACACCCCCCACAGCCATCACCACACCCCCACAGCCATCACCACATCCCCACAGCCATCACCACACCCCCCACAGCCATCACCACATCCCCACAGCCATCACCACAGCCATCACCACACCCCCACAGCCATCACCACACCCCCACAGCCATCACCACACCCCCTACAGCCATCACCACACCCCCACAGCCATCACCACAGCCATCACCACACCCCCCACAGCCATCACCACACCCCCACAGCCATCACCACAGCCATCACCACACCCCCCACAGCCATCACCACACCCCCACAGCCATCACCACACCCCCTACAGCCATCACCACATCCCCACAGCCATCACCACACCCCCTACAGCCATCACCACATCCCCCACAGCCATCACCACACCCCCTACAGCCATCACCACACCCCCTACAGCCATCACCACATCCCCACAGCCATCACCACACCCCCTACAGCCATCACCACATCCCCACAGCCATCACCACACCCCCTACAGCCATCACCACATTCCCCACATCCCCCACAGCCATCACCACATCCCCCACATCCCCCACAGCCATCACCACATCCCCACAGCCATCACCACACCCCCTACAGCCATCACCATACCCCCTACAGCCATCACCACATCCCCCACAGCCATCACCACATCCCCCACATCCCCACAGCCATCACCACATCCCCACAGCCATCACATCCCCTACAGCCGTCATCACATCCCCACAGCCATCACCACACCCCCCACAGCGATCACATTCCCCACACCCCTCACATCCCCCACAGCCATCACCACATCCCCACAGCCGTCACCACATCCTCACAGCCATCACCACATCCCCACAGCCATCACCACATCCCCACAGCCGTCACCACATCCTCACAGCCATCACCACATCCCCACAGCCATCACCACATCCCCACAGCCATCACCACATCCCCACAGCCATCATCACCACATCCCCCACATCCCCCACAGCCATCACCACATCCCTTACGGCCATCACCACATCCCCACAGCCATCACATCCCCTACAGCCGTCATCACATCCCCACAGCCATCAGCATACCCCCCACAGCGATCACATTCCCCACACCCCTCACATTCCCCCACAGCCATCACCATGTCCCTACCGCTATCACCATTGCTTTCACTGCCCCTGGCTTACAATGCTGCAGTGAGAAGTGCCCCTACCGACCTTCTCATGGCACTCCATGCTACCTCATTCACAGCAGGCAGGACTGGAGGGAACCCACTATGGGTCAGAGGGAAGTAGTGTCCTGTCCCCCACAGCCATGGTGATGAGGAAGCCTCTGGAAAACCTCTAGGGCTAACAGGAACACAGGTGAACAATGTGTCCTGCCCAGTGAGGCCCCCAGCTATTCTAGGAGATGCTCACTCCAGGATGCCCAGAAATCATGGGAAGCACACATCATGAAAACCCTATTTTGGATTTCCTAAGTCCTGCTTCTCAGTGAACTCTCTGAGGTGCCTGTATGGCATGGGAAGGTGGGTGCTATGTGATGTGGCCTGGAGCAACAGGGCGCCTCATACCAACAGAAGCAGGCAGGAGATAGGTCAGGGATCCCCTACAGCTTTCAGAAGTCACGACCCTGCCAGCTCCTGGCCTCTGAACCAGGAGGTAGCATGGTAGGTCAAAGCCACTCTGGTGGTTCCTGCTCACAATAAAATACAGAATGCTCCTCACCATTGACAAGCACAGATCACATACATCCACCCTGGTAGAGCTGGTGAAGAAAGCTGCAGAGGCTAGAGCAGCCAAAGAGAAAAAAGACATACATGGAGCAGCCAGCTGGGAAGGCTGCAGGTATGCCAGAACAAAGCCCCAGGGACAGCAAGGCCAGAGCCCACTGTCACAGCTCCAGGGATAGCAAGGACAGCGCCCAAGTCACACCTCTGGGGACAGCAAGGCCAGTACCCACTGTCACAGCTCCAGGGACAGCAAGAGCAGCAGCTGCCGTGGCAGGTGGTACAGGTCAGGTGAGTTGAACAGTGGAGCAGTACGGCATGTGGGGCTGGAACCAGCAGGCGTACGTGATCCCCAGGCTATGGCCTCTGGGACGTCGTACTGTGGCTTGCCATGCCTCACTTTCCTCATCTATAAGATAACCAGCAGCCCCTCCTTCCTAGCACTCACCAAGCAAAGACAAAATGCAAACGTGGTCCAGGGCCTCCCCTGGCCTGAGGGCCCAACAAGGCCCCCAGGTAGTGGGGTAACCCAGACAGCCAGAATCTGGCCCAGAGTGACTCAGGGCCCAGAGACCCAACCCTGGCACAGACACCTCCGACCTTCCAGTGACCCATGTGGACCGGGGATGGAACTCTTTCTGTCAGTAGCCATGTGGGTGTTGATGGGCATCACCCACGTGCCAGCTAAGAAACTAGCTGCTGCAGCCACGCTGAATGTCAAGTCCCTTCTGCAATTCCCTCAGCAGGGCTGGACCATAGGACTTCACAGGTCAGACATCCCACCACTACAATGGCCAAGTCTTGGCCCACAAGCTCAGATCCCCTCGACCTGAGGCTCCTGGCCCTCAGTCTGCACTGGACCATAAGCCCTGCACCTGCCACCTGGCAACATATCATTGCTTAGCTCTTTCACACGCATCAAAACAATGACCATGCCCAACACATGGGGTCGGAGGAAGAGGGCAGGAAACCGCTGAGCAGCCTAGTGACCTAGGCCAGCTCTCAGGCAGACAAGAAGTGAAGGGCAATGCAGCCAGCAGTGGTGACAAGCATACGTCTGGAAAGAGAAGCACCTCAACCAAGAGCTGCAGTCCTAGCTGCCTGTGTTCCTACAGGTCCACCCCACGTCCAGTCTGAAATGGGCAGAGAGAGAAGCTGCCGAGGGGTCTCAGGGACACCACAGGGTGAACACTTCACTCTCTCAATTCCAAAGGAAAAACCTGGCCTTGTTTGAAGCCCCATAAATGCCCTTGCCCCATGATTCTGCCAGCATGCTTGCGGCTGGACTCAGTCCTGAGAGCGTCAGCTCACAGCCAGGGATGTGTCCCGGGTACAGGCCCCTCAACTGCCACAGCATGCTCACCAGAATACTGCTGTCTCCACCTGCTGGCCACCACTCCCCAAGGGAGTCATGGAGGGCTGGCACTGGGAGGTGAGCCAAACCCAGTGACCCCATGCCTCCAGTGTTGGCCACGTCACTCACCTCCAAAGGGCAGCTGGAAGGAGCCACAGCACAACCACTCTTTGTGCAGTGTCCCACTGCCAGCCTGGGACAGTCATGTAGCACTCCAGTCCCTGTCAGTAAACAGCTGATGTACCCCAAGATGCAGGAGGTGGGGAGGGGACCATGCTGACCTGATCCATTCCTTCCCACTGGGACAGCCTTCCCTGAAGGCCAGAGCCAGAGATGAAAAGCAACAGAAAAATGTCCCCCTTCCCAAAAGAGAAACCAGGGACACAGCAAGGCTTGGGGTTCAGCCCAGGGCTAGGCAAGATCAGTGTACAGCCCTTCCTGGGCCAGCACGGGATCAGCTGAGCCACAAAGACAACACTTGGGAAGCCGGGACCTGGGGGGTTAGGGGGCTGGGCAGCACACAGGCCCTGGAACTTCTGCATTCCTATCTGTCTGCGAGGCATTGACCGAACCTAGCGGTCACATCCTGAGACAAGGCAAAGGAGACGAGGAGTGGTGGGCTGGTGGGGAGAGAGGGAGTAGCGAATGAGCAGGGAAAGTGGAAGAGGCAATGAGAGAGGCAGAGGTAATGGGAAGGCACGTCAAGGGTGGGGCAGGTATAGTGAGAGGGGCATGGTCGGGGGACGGCCATGGCAGGAGGAAGGGCAGTGGGGTGATGGGGAGCAGTGGAGGAGCCAGAGAAATGGGAGGGGCACAACAGGGGCACGACAAGGGTAGTGAGAGGGGCATTGGCAGAGGGGAATGGCAGGGAGGGGGGACAGTGGGCTTGGTCACAGCAGGGACAAGGCAGGGCAGGCACTGGTGTCCTTGAGCAGACAAGCAAGCAGGGCCCTGCTGGATGGAGGCCCCCAGGGCTCCTGGAGCTGAGAGGGGATCTGGCAAGTACAGTAGCCAGAAGTCAAGGGCCAGGAGCCACCAGGGTGGAGGGGAGACAGTGGGCCCTGAGTCCTGCAATCTGCAGAGGAGAGGCCTCCTGGTGCCAGCCCCCAACCCACAAGCAAAACTGCGACCCCCAGGGGCAGCCAGGACAACCTCCCTCTCCAAGGTTTTCCCAAAGATTTTGTGGAGGTTCTGGGAGGGGGATAGACAGGCCAGCTCTATGGTGGGACTGGACTTTCTGTGGTACCCCTGCCTTTCAGGTCCCAAGCAGCTGGGTAATGAGAAGCCCAAGACGGACCTATAACCCTCCCCAGCTCTGCCCCGTGACTCTGCTTGCCTGCTGGTCTCTGGGTTCTGAGACAAACCAGGAGGGTCTCAGAGATGCGGGGCTGGCAGGTATCAGCCCAGAAGGTCTGTGGTCACACCCCTCCCCCTAGGGCAGTACCTATCCCAAGACTTACATGTGTCTGGCTTGTGGCAGCTGTGTCCCTGGCGGAAGTACTGGGGGTTCTCGATGACCGGGATGCGGGCCATGCCGATGACCACTGTATCGGGCCCTGCGTCCAACGACGAGGGTGTGGTGATGCCATGGTTGATGTGGTGCAAGGGGCTGGCTGAGTCCTCCTCACCACTGATGACAGCTACAGGACCTGCACGGGCCAGGAGACATAGCACACAGTGAGATCACTCCTACCACTCAGTACTGCCCACGGAATCCTTGCTGCTTTCCCGCCCAACTGTCTGCAAGAACACAGCGGTTACCATCCCAAGACACTTTAGATTCTGAATTCAGAGCCATTCCTGAATTTTCTCCCTTGAAAATTACCCTAAGTATGCCAACAGCTACAAAACAAATAAAAAATGACACAAATTTTCACACCTTCCCAAAACCAGATTACTTCAAAATAACCAATGTTTAAACAAACTTTTGCTCATGTAGTATCAACAGGATAGAAATAAAAGTCAAGGCCCACCAGGACCTCACATCAAAGCCTCCTCTGCCATGGATGTCAGCAGCACCCTGGGGGTCCAACTGACATCCCAGAGCTGACTGTGCCTGCCAACCCGGGCTGTGCACATGGCCTTAGATCCCCAATGAGAGTGAGCCACCCCAGTGGGCCCTGCTGCCAGGCCTCCCATGTCCACAGGGAGCTCAGCCCCCATGGGTCTGCACCTGTCCCAAGTCTGCTCCACAGGCCACCACCACCTGGCTGCATTGCCACTGTCCATTGCAGTGTGGTCAGCAGCTCTGCTCCAGCAAGTGACTTTTAGAGCACTGCGCTCCGCCCCGCCAACCCTACTGGCACTGCCAGATCCACCCATAGAAAGAACCCAGGAGCATGGCAGTAGCTCAGCATATGAGCAATCCCCAAGACCATGTGTCTTGGGTGACACTCCAACATCATAGATGTGTGATTCTCCCAGAAACAACACAACTCCTTAGAAAAGCCCTCACACTACTCAAGCAGATAAGCTGCTAAAAGGGCCATACATGGGCTGGTGCTACAGTAGATCACGTTAAGCCACTACCTGCAGCATCAGCATCCCTCGTGGGGGCCAGTTCAAGTCCTAGCTGCTCCCTGTTACGGCACTTGGCAATGCAGCCAAGGATGGCCCAGGTGCTTGGGCACATGAGAGAGCTCCTGGAAGTAGCATGGCCCAACTCCATCCACTGCGGCCATTCAGGAAGTGAACTGCAGGATAGAAGATGTCCCTCTTCTCCTCCAGCACCCCCATCCTGTAACTCTGCCTTTCAAATAAATAAAACAAATCTCTTTAGAACAAAGCAGGGCCAGTGCAGAGGGAGCGAAGAGGCCTCCAAGGACCATGCTCCCTGGCAGTGAAGGGACGCAGCAGAACAACAGATTTCTCACTGGAAGCACTACCTGGTTGAAGGGAACAGTGACATGTTCTAGGTTGTAACAGAAAGAAGTAACCAAGAATCCTACATGAAGCAAAGTTTATGATCCTTGGGATGAAGGAGACAAGCTAAAATCACCGTAGTTGTCACAGGACAAGTCTCACAAAAGACACTTAAGGGAGCTAAACACACAGAAGCGGAAGACAGAGAATGTCACAGGAACCCCAGAAGAGCAGCTATGCAGCAAAGAGACAGAGAATCAGAGTGAAACCAACATCAACTCGCCACAGACAGAAGAAACATCTACCCCAGGAAGAGCCTTTCCTGCCCATGAGCCCTGGATACAACAATCAAAACATCCAGACTGGACCAATACATTAAAGCAGGCAAGGCCGCCACTGGCCGAGCGGAAGGACGGAGCCAAGAGCAAGGAGGGCTGTTCAGAGCAACAAACCTCAAGACAGAACCCCAACAAGTCACTGCAGCATGATCAGGGGGTTCATTCAACAAGAGGGTGCAGTGTGTGCCCACTCAGTGCTAGGGCACCCAACTTTACATCACAAACATCACTGGAGCTAAAGAAGGGCCAGGCTGCAACACAGTACTGCTGAGAAACTTCAGCACACCATTTTCATCAACAACGGATTGCCCAGACAAGAAATTGGTGTTAAGTGACTCTAGAACGTTTCTAGAGCTGCAGGGCACACTTCCCCATTGACACTGGAACGTCCTCTAGGAAGGAAACACCATAAACTAGAAACACCAAAATCAGACATGCATCTTTTCTGATCACAACAAAAATAAAAGCACAAATCAACAACAAATACAGAGAAAAATACAAACTAAGCAACATGTTTCTAAGTGACCAATTTTTAAGATTTCTTTAAAAATAATAATAATAATAATAATAATAATGGAAATCCAGCACATCAATACTTGTGCGTAAAGCAAAAGCGTCATGAAAAGTTTACAGCAACAGAAATAGATTTCGGAGCCAGCGCTGTGGCACAGCAGGTAGGCATCCCACATGGTTACCAATTCGAATCACAGTTCTGACCCAGCTCCTGACTAACGTGCCTGGTCCAAATCTTGGGTCCCTGTCTATGTGGGAGACCTGGATGAAGCCCCAGGTTCCTGGTTTTAGACCTGCTCAGCTCCAGATATTGTGGCCATTTGGGAAATGAAACAGTGAATGAAAGACGTACATGTGTGCGTGTCTCCTTCCCTCTCTGTAACGCTGCCTTTCAAATAAGTAAATAAATAAATATTTATCAAAAATATATTTCAAATACACAACCAAATAATGCATCCAAAAACACAGGAAAGCAGCACTAAACTAAACCTAAATTAGTAAAAGGGTAAAAATGACACACATCACAGAAACAAAGCAGACAAAAACCACAACAGATCAATGAAATGCCTTTTTGAAATTTCATGTAAAGTTGGCCAATCTTTAGCTGGACTAACCAAGAAAAAGGAAAAATGAAAAATTACAAGAAACTAAGACTGATACCGCAGAAACATCAGCATCATTACGGACTACTACTAAACAACAGCAGATTAGATAAGTGTCTGGACACGAGTGGACCAACCGCCCCCGGCCATCACTAAAGGCCCAAGGGCTGCAGGCTGCATTCCACCCACACTGCTCTCAGACAATGCAAAAGGCCCTGAGAGGGAGGGAGTGTTCCCAAATTCATTCCACCAGGCTGACTGTTTCCAAATCACAGAAACAGCAATATTCCTGATGAACACAGATGCAGAAATGCTCCACAAAACACTAGCAAATCAAATCCAAGAGCATGTCACAAAGATCATTTGCCATGATTATCAGGACTTATTCCAGGGATACAAGGATGTTCAATATGTATAAGATCGATAAACATGATGGAGCACATCAACAAACGGAGACTAAAGGTCATACAACTGCTCAACAGATACAGACAGGCACATCAATAAAACTCCACATCTATTCTAACGAAAACTCAGGCTCAGCCCTCAGCACAACGAAGGCTGTGCCAGACCAGAGCCCACGCCAAGCAGAAGTTCCCTCCAAGCCCTGGAATCAGACAGATGTCCACTCACACCACTCTCCTTCAAAAGTAAAATCTCAGCCAGGAAAATGAGGCAAGATTAAAAAATAAAACTTTCAATGAGAAAGGGAAGTCAAATTATCCTTTTATGAAGCAATAATTCTGTAGAGAAAAATCTGAAGACGCCACCAAAAACCTGAACTTAAATTTCTGTAAAGTTGTAGAATAAAACATTTGCACAAAAAACAGTTATCATTTTTATATGTCAATAATAACCTTATGAAGAAAGAAATCACAGATACAATCATAGGCACAACACCTGCAAAAACTGCCTAAGACAGATGAATAGTCCAATCCTCACGTGACCCAGCTGTCCCTCATGGGAACCCAGCAGAGGACACAGACTGGCATCTGAAGACAAGGCCATCTTTCACGTGTGTGTGGCACTGCTGAGAACAGCTGAGCAGACCAAGGACCTGTGTAAGCACATGGCAGACCACAATCCAGCCACACAAGGAATGCCATCGGGCATCACAGCAGAGTGGATGAACTGGGGAGCCACGTCCAACGTGAGAGCAGACTCCCAGCCAGGGGCTTTCTACTACACTCTCTGCTCTCACTGCTCTCTTCCACAGTCAGACCCTGTCAGGCTCCAGACCACACCCCAGCGGATATGCCGGAAAAGGAGGTCCAGGCCCCAGTGGCATCCAAGAACCTTCTCCTTCGCTCCCTACTCCTACCCAACAGAAACAAGGGTACAGAGGCCACAGTGGCTCGGGTTCTCAGAACCCGACTCTAAGTGGGAACTCGGCTCCTGGAGAAGCAAAGCCCAGTGAAGGCTCCAGCTACAAAGGCCAAGTGGAGCCTGGGCACAGGGGTCCCAGGTGCAAAGCTGAAGGCTGCCAGGGACCAACAGATGCAGGCCAGTAGGCTAGGAGGAAGTTCTGCAGAAGCCCCCAGCCACTGCAGGAAGACACCTTCTCAGCACCAGAGGGAAGGTAGGAAGAGTGCAGGTGGCAGCAGCCTCCATGAGCTGTATGGACCACATTCACCCCTTGCAGGTCAGAGGGACCCCACCGTCCCTCCTGTGGGCATCTGGTGCCCATAGGAGGGTCTGGGTTCAGGTCCCAGCTACACACCTAGCATCCTGTTGCTGCAGACCCTCACAAGCAGCAGCAGGCCTCTGCCACCCACAGGGCAGATCTGAATGGCACAGGCTTTGGACTGCCACAGGCTTTGGACAGGTAAGTATTTGAAGAGTGAACCATGGATGAGAGATCTTAGTTCCTCTCTCCACATCCCCTGAGGTAAACAGTCCCTCCATATTGGTCTTTTTAACAATAAATAAATTAATGCAATCCCCTCTGCTCCTCTACCTCCAGTTTAGCATTCACACCCCTTGGAAACATGGCCCTACCAAGAGGCAGCTGTGACCTGATCTGACAGTGGGCACTGGACTCCTCCTATGCCCAAAAGACCCCTGAGGTTTACAGCAGCAAGAGGCAGGGAAAGACAGCATTTATCAGATCCTGTCATATGCAAATGCCCAGCTGGGTGCTAGTCCTTGTCTCACGTACCTCGAGGGCCATGGCATTCTCCTTTCATTCCCAAGGTCACCTAGACAGCACATGTTGGAGCCACATTCCAGCTTCCAATGCTTTCTCTCCCACCACACTGCTGCGTGGCACATGCCAAATCTCCTTCACACACACTCAGCTTGCTGTGAGAAAGGGCACATCCATTCCCAGGCACTGGG